CAAAACTTGTAAACACAGCTGCTCTAGTGTGCTTTTCACTGTTTGTTTGAGAATCCTGACCCACCCATCATAGTCATAAATTCTCAAGCATCATTGTAAATCTGGGGTGTATCCATCTTTTTGTCCGTATATAGCGCCATATAGTGTTATACTGTTATCTACTTTGCTATAGACCTTAAAGTGAGGTCACAATTACCACTGCATGGTGAATTTCACTCGATTAAGAGTTTCGCATGAGGGTGAAACAAGATGTCACAACATGTTCAACAGAAATAGGGTTGGTTTGAAAGTGACTTTGGTGTGAGCTGTGCTTCATACGTCACTACACTATTGAGACAAAAGACCATGTTGCTAATGTGCCCCTACAGTCAGGGTGCCAATTGTTCAGCTGACAAAATATCTTTCTAAATGCCTTTTAGAAGACAAAAACGCCATAAAACAAAAAAGTTGGGGTTGGAAAATTATGATCTAGACCTTTATACAGTGCATGGCATTGTAAAGGCCACAAGTCTATCCCTCACAGCCTCATTTTTTAATCCTTGTAAAATTTCATATGCCGTCTATCTGACTAAGGTCTATTGATCAAACAGATAGTACAACATTTACTTTTTTTTTTTTATCTCAAAACCTATAAGATGTGAAATGGTATCATCATTTACATACCCTCGTGTCGTTCTAAAACTCTATGACTATCTTTCTTCTGTGCAACGTAAAAGGAGATATTTTGAGATATGTCTTAGTGTGTATATATATATATATATATATATATTTGTCCAATGGAAGTCACTGGTCACCAAAACTGTTTAGTTACCAACATTCTTTAAAATATCAGAAGAAAGAAAGTAATACAGGTTTGGAACAACACGAGGGTGAGTAAATGACAGAATTATCACTTTAAAGAAAGTACAAATCATTGAACAGGCTGTTTTTTTCAGCTTAGTTTTCATTAGCATAAAATTATTATGCTATCTAGCATATAATGTCTTTTAGGTGAAATTAAATTCTACAGAAAATTCAGCCAGTTTAACATTCCAAATAATTATTTTTAAACCGATTTTACTCTTTCCTTCCAATTTGCTTGTCACATTAGTAATAGGTAAACAAGCAGTTATCAACAAACCAATAGTTCTTTCCTCAATTAGTTATTCATGCTATTGCAAGTCTGATATGCCAAGCAGTCTAAAAGGGTTTTATTATCATCAGCCAGCCAGGCATGTAATATTGGAGTCCATTTCATTTCAGTGCACCCCGTTTTTGAGAGACTCGGAAACTCAATTCACAATTCACTGGTCAATTTAAATGACTCAGTCTTGCAGGTATGGACAGTCGGGTCTGTGCTTTATTTTCGACAGGAAAACGGGCCAAGTATTCCACCTTGGGATGTGTGCCGCGACGTGTCACCTCACCTGCATGTGTGTTTATACTTAATGCTGAAATCCGGGCAGGAGATGCGGACATTAAATGCAGGGCACAGTTCTTTATCTTAGTCTGAGGTGTTTTTGAGCCTCTGCATGTCAATGAAGCGCGGTTGTGCGCGTCTGAGTGTGTGCATGGCTTTGTGTTTGTCATTAAGGTTAAGCCAAATGCAAATCAAAGCAATCTCCTGACAGACCTTCCTACGCAGACCGTCCCACTTCACGTAATGATCACCTCGGTCTGTTCTGGTGAAGAGTCCTTCAGTTAATACACTAATAAATACCACACACACACTTTCGCCTGTGGGCAAAATACAGGTGCATTTGCATGAGTTTAGGGCAATTAGAGTTGTTGTGCAGAAGAATGGTGTGAAGATAACAGGATGATTTACTATGTCATGACTGTGGACGGCAGTTTATGTATGTGTGTAAAGGTGCGTAGTCAGCTTTTGTGTGTGTGTCCTAATGCACTCTGTTATGGGTTTCGCTAATGAATGTATCAGAATACAAAGCTGTTAGTAATGCTGTTGTGTGTCTGTCTGTGTAAAGAGAATGGACAATGTGCTGTTGCCTGTGTCTTAGCATGTCTAATCATCAGTCACACACACGCACGCACACACACACACACACACACACACACACACACACACACACACACACACACACACACACACACACACACACACACACACACACACACACACACACACACACACACACACACACACACACACACACACACACACAAGCTAATGCTGGATGAGGTCTCCTTTCATGAGTTCATTTTCATTCAAAGCAATTCTCAGTCTATCCACAAGGGGACAGAGTGACATCATTTAGATCTATGGGGGAAATCTCTAGAAAAGTCATATGCAAGTAATAATAATAATAGTAATAAACATATTTTTATGACAACTAGGCACACACACACACACACACACACACACATGCGCGCGCCGCGCACACACGTTTATTTAGCTATCTAAATGGGGGCTTTCCTTAGACGTAATGGTTTTTATGCTGTACATATTCTATGCCCCTCCACTAACACTACCCCTAAACCTAACCCATCACACAAAACTTTCAAATTCAAGATGAAAACTACATTTTTTAAAAGCCTTTAATTACTTTATTTTTATACCAGTTTTACAAAGGAGGACGTTTTTGGAGATTTTGTCAGCCTTTGGTCACTTCTGGGTACAAATTTGTCCCCAAAATATAGTTAAGCACACACACACACACACACACACACACACACACACACACACACACACACACACACACACACACACACACACACACACACACACACACACACACACACACACACACACACACACACACACACACACACACACACACACACACACACACACACACACACACACACTCTCTCACACACACACACACACACACACACACACACAAAAGCTGGGAGTAGTGTGTAATTGTAATAAAATAAACAGTATTCATTTTGTAATTCTCTTCGGACTATCAAGGTAAAAGAGTCAAACAGGACTTTGACTTGGTCGTTTATGCTCTCAGCAACTTTTTTTATGGACACATTCACTGCGCATGTGCATATGTGTATTGGCATGTCTATATGAAAGAAGCAGAGAAAAAGAGAAAATGAATGCATGTGTATGTGATTGAAGTTGCAATATCGGTGGTCTCTGTGAGTGTGTGATGAGGTTGTGAGATCACTTTGAGCCCGGGGGTAGGTGAACTACAGTAAACAATATATCAGTCCCATCTCTGTGGCCTCAGCGCCTGTGTGCGTGTGCGGGGTTGCCTTTGAAGAACAGGGGTTGCATCGGACCCTGAGGGTGGATGGATATCCCTCTCTGAAGCTGCCCTTCTTTTGCTCATCCCATCTCTGTTTCTCTGTTGCTCCGCTCCATCAGTACTTTTATTCCTCTCTCCCTTCTCAGACCTTACACCTCATCTCAGGCCTTTTTTATTTCTTTCCTTTCAATCTCACATTTCATTAGCGCTGTTCCATTACCATATTCTTGTTTTTATTTTCTCACATATATGTTGGTATTTCTTTAACAAAGGGAGCTTTTAGGGCCTAGGGTTTGCTTTTAATTAAAACTAGCAAATACTTTTTTTATTTTGTTATATGAAGGTCTCATAACATTTTTGAAAAACATATTATGCCCTTATGCCCCTAATAATTTTTTTTGCTTCAAATGCTTTTTATGTGATGTTAGACCCTAGACCCACACTTGCAGTCTTAATTAATAGTTTTATGATGGATATTAATACTTTATTACATTTATGTTGGTTACAAAGTGAGACAATCATAAATCATTTCAATATATATTGTGTGGAAATGGCTTTTTTTTTAAACGAAATACAACTATATATCAGTTCTGCTGTTATGTGGGCCATTTATTTTAAAAATTTCATATTTTCTGTCCCCAAATTCAACTGTGATTTGCACTCAGAATTGTTTTTTGTTATTTTATTTTACACACAGAGGAAAAACACAAACATTTAGATTCCAAAATCTCCATACACTATTTAAACAATTAATTCTATGTTGACATCATAATCAATCAAGTTTGATCAATGCTAAATATTAAACATGTTTGATATCTAAAATCACAAAACATAAACTTTCAATTAAGTATCATTCATCAACAATTCACCATACTGTAGAATATAATTTTCCTAACATGTTAACCACATCCACTGACAAAACAAACGCGTTGTTATATAGGGCATAGTTTTACACCAAACACAATAATGGAGAGAAAAAAATGATAATGAAGAAAATATAATAATAATAAATAAATATAATTTTTTCCACAAATTACAACTGTTTCTCAGTTATGGTGTAAGTTACATCAGAAGTTAGTGTACTTAAATAGACAACAATGTCAGTGAAGGGCATGGTATAAAATATCAAAAATAATAAATGTTAAATGATATTTGATGTCTGAAGGATACAAAGAAAAATCAAGGAAAATAGCACTGGTCAACAAAATATTTTTTATTGTGCATCACTAATCAATCATTTGATTTTGTTAAATTATGTAAAAAAGTATGACAATATTGTCCAATTGTTTGTATTTACGATGAATACAATTTTATCTATGGAATTAGTGTTGTTAGCAAAACAACAGTGTCAGCAATTTGAGTCAGTGATTTAAGATGTGGAGGAAATTACATTTTCTCATTATGAAAAAAAACCCCCTTCAAAATGACATAGTTCTCTTGTCATGCATGTACAGTACATCCATTATTAGTAGACAAATTAAATGAACTAGTGAGTTTGAAAAGTGTATTTCAGAGGAGTTTCAAATCGCAATACCCTGAAGACCAGAAGTGCCCATAGTTGAAGAAACACATGTACTGCTTCTTTCTTCACTTGACCTCATCCCTCTCCTTCTTCCTTCTGTCTTCTCAGGATCTGAATATTGTTTGAGGAAGAAGGAGAAGACAGAGCAGGAGACATGGCTGGCTTACAGGGAAGAGAGTGATCAGAGAACACAGGACAGAAAGGTAACACTGTTGACGTATTCTCACAACCTTGAGGCAGACTGTGACTTATGTGTAGACTTTTCAATGCTCTCTTTCTCTCTCTCTCTTTGTGCTGGTCTCTCTGTAGATGCAGCTGTGGGAGCGGTCAGTGTGGCCGTTGCAGGTCGCACTCTTCGTCACCTTGGTAATGTGCTCGTGCCGGTCGGCTTCTGCGGGGACACGGAGTCTGCGGGGACACACAGGTATGCCAATGCCGCATTGGCTTAATTACAGGAGAATATGTATTTATGAACACATGGCAGATCGTCTGATTTACTCTCACACTGCAAGTCCAAAGCAGACTGATCATTGATACTTAGAATCATTCACAAGTTCATCTCATGCCACTTGTGTTTTTGTTGATTAAACAAATATTTCGGGAACAAGTTACGCTAAATACACAGCATTTGTGGCATAATGTTGATAAACACAAAAATGTATTTCCACTTACAGTGAGGCGCTTACAGTGAGGCACTTACAATGGAAGTGAATAGGGCCAATTTGTAAATATTAAAATACTCACTGTTTAAAGTATAGTCACAATATGTAAATAATGTGCATGTTAAGATGACTTTAGTGTGAATAAAAATAACTTACTAACCTTTTCTGTGTAAAGTTATAAGCAATTTTACAATTTCGTTGCCATGATGGAATGCCACAAAAAAAAAAAAAACAATGATAGTAAATGATTCTTCTTTTTTGATGATTCTGTCATCTGTCAATCATTCAGTGATTCTGAATTTGAAAGTTTGACATCTGGAAGCATGGCCGCATAGAGCAATAAAAATATATATAATATATGTTTGAATAGATCTGTTATCTTATTGTTGATCGGTTTATTGAAAAATTAAATTAAATTCAAGTTTGTTTGTATAGTACTTTTCACAATAGATTGTTTCAAAGTATTTTTTACAGAAATAATGCTTATAATACTAATAATATTTATAGATAATGTCAATAATTGTTGATCATGTTTTTTCCTTTATTTTTCTTTATTATGGATGTACTCATTGTACTGTAAAAAAGTACAGTCAACTTGGATGTTTAAGTCATTTCAACTTAAATTACATTAAACTGACTTAAAAAACGAGCTGAATCTTGTATAACTTGTAATATGTATGATGAGTTAAAGCAATGTAAAAACATATGTTGTCATAACTTTTTAATCATGTCATTTTCTATGTGAATGTTGTCGGGGTCAAAGACATATATCCATGAGCATATATAATAAAGAGTCAGGCCACATCTCATACAAAAGACAAGAACAAATTTACAGCTCATATAATACGTGTGTTTTAGAGGAGAATAATTTTAAGTGCTTTTATAAAATCATAGGCTTCACATTTCTTCTTTTAAATCTTCAAAACCTGGACCACAGTGCCAGTGAGAATGCAGTCCATTTTATCATGTTTAAATCCATTCCACAATAATTTTTCTTCCAAAATTAGTGTTGAAAAAAAAAATTCTTCATATTCCGTCCACCCAGTGAGTGTAAACCACAGAGGATGTCAGTGAACCCTTTTTTCAGCCCATAAAAGACATTTAACAAGGCTTGACCTCTAATACAAACACATAATTACAGTTATTTCCGGTGCTGTCCTGTTCAGGAGATTAAAAGCGGGTCGTTTGCATCCGTATCATATTTATATGATAGTGCTCCTGCCCTGCAGTAACATTAAAACGGACAGCAGCAAAGTCACTCTCTTCATTAGAGTTCATGCCTCTGCAGTAAAGAGTTTTAAGCGAAGGGACAATTTAGTAATGACTGTATTAATCTTAAATGGTCAGGTAATAAGCTCTTTACACCTCTGCATGCCTCTGTACACACACACACACACACACACACACACACACACATCTTTGTAAAAAAAAAAAAAAACGAGGGTAACTAAAATAATGTCCACTTCCCCACGCTAATTGACACCCACGAGCTAACTAATTCTGATTTGCATAATTCATGAAAGCTTCCCTCATGGTGAAGAAGTGACCAGCAGTACATAAATATTTTAGCATGCCAAAAGGTCAGACTCCAGGCTCTTTCGCTGAATCATTCATATTATGCAAAGTCCTTCCCCAATGTCAGCGTTGCTCCAGATAATTATCACACTTTCTTTAATTACGACTTCTCTTTGTTTAGTTGTTGCTACTGTAATGCAAGGTGACCTTTTGGCTGAGACAGAAATGCCACCAGCATCTCGAGCCGGTCTGACTGATGATGTTACTTTTCATTTTGATGGGGAGAAGAGGTTACTTTTCTAACGGAGGTGTTTTTAATCAGCACTGTGCTAATTACAGCAGAAGGGTGTTGTGAAGGTCACCAAAGTTTTCACATTTCATAAGTGGATGTCATCCCTGGTTTAATTTGGTTTAAGCCCTATCCTTAATTTGAAGAGAGACTCTTGCTAATTGAGGAAAATTGTTTGTTGTGAAATTGAATATTTTGAGGAAAACAAAAGAAAAGGGAGAAATGTGGGCAAAAATGCACAACACTTTTTGTGATTCATTACTCCTTTGTCAGGGCAAGTTTCAGAGTGACTTTTTGCACTGAGTGGTCACATGGTGTAGCTATTTTATTTTTGAAATAAAAAATATTTGTGATTTGAATTTTCACACAGGTGACCATAGCCAATAAAAAGCTCTATTATTAAAAAAGCTCTAAATACCCTATATGTTGTATATTTAAATGTTGCATAATAGTATAGATCATATTTTAATGTATTATAAAAAATGTTTTATATCATCACTACCGTTAGCGGTTAAGTTACGGTTAGCTACCGTAGAAGCTTTTATTCAGCAAGGATGCATTCAATTGACCAAAAGTGACAGTAAAAATGTTACAAAACATTTATATATCAATAAATGCTGTTCTTTTGAATCTTCTATTTATCCTGAATCCTGAAAAAGTATCATGGTTTACACACAAATATGAATCGGTTTTAAACTGTGATAATGTCACTGTGACACCTGTCTTGGACTTTGTTTTGCCTTCTGTGTTTGTGCAGCATGTGTTTTCTTGTGAATCAGTTTCACCTGTTACCCGTCATCATCCTCATCACAGTCATCATCACTCTCCCTGTGTATTTAGTCTCCCTAGTTTCAGTTCTAAAGCTTGCTTATGTTTGGTACGTGTCTTGTTCATAAATAAATAGTTTAATCGTGATCCGTCTTCTTGGTCTTCCTGATCGTGGCTCACGCAGCCCAAGCATGATAGATAATAATAATAAGAAACGTTTTTTTTTTGCACCAAATCAGCATCATGTGACACCGCAGACTGATGTAATGGCTGCTCAAAGATATGAAGTTTTTCTTTTGTATTTTTTATATATTCTTATGTATTTGATTATATAAAAAAAATATATTTATACAAACATATGCTATATGTACTTTATTATATTACATATTATACTAGACTTTATATATATATATATGTGTGTGTGTGTGTGTGTAAATAGTATCTTAATAACTTTGGGATTTAAAAAGAATAGCCTCTGCCACATTTTTACCTTGAAAAGCAAGTTCTTCATTGCAGTGCCACTTGTGGCCACATGGTGGCTCTGAAGCTCTATAAATGCATTCACAGGAATAACCCCTCTTGTGTCTGAATGAGAAGCAGTAATGGGTCATTTGTAAAGTTCTCCTGCGGAAACATGGACACTAATGGGAATGGATGGTCTGAATCTCACCCAAACGAGGCAAGGGCCGTTGACTGATGGTTGACACTGAAACCAGACACTATAACTAACAACCACTTTTTCTTGTCTTGTGTGTCCTGTCATGCTTGCCCATGCTTGCAGGTAAATAGAGACAATAGCGTGCAAGCGCCTGCCTTTGTTCCTGTCTGCTGTAATAGGCCCTTATATAGCCAACACCGAAGGCCAACAAAGTCCCAATGCGCGTTGCATTTAATGAGTACACACACATTCGCCAACATACCTGCATGCCTACACGAGCCAGTTGTGGCCATTTTCGACACATTGATTCAGCATCCATATACAGTACAGTGTGTCAAAGTGAGTCGCCTGGAGCCAAAGGCCACCCACTCTGAGACCTCATTTGTGTTATGTGAGCTGTGCTTTGGTTTGTCTTATACTCACGACATGAAGATTAAACACACAAGTATAAACGTCCATGCAACATTGTTCAAGCTTGTGATGACACTTGACACATCCAATTAAAAACAACAGCTAACCTGGAGCTATTTATTACCTGGCCTGACAACGCATTCTCATCCTTTGGCGTCATATAGGTGATGCCATATGACATTTCGTCGAAATCTTATGCACATGGCATCCTTTAGCGTCTATATAACACGCACTGTTATGGGTAGGTTTAGGTCTGGGGTAGGGTACGGTTATGACGCCTTGGGATCTGCGTCTCATATTCACGCTAAACGATGCCATGTGCGTTGGATTTAGACGAGCGTCACCTGTATGACGCCTTGGTTTCTGCGTCTCATATTGATGCTAAAGGATGCCATGTGCGTAAGATTTCAACGAAATGTACAAAGCGTCACATGTATGACGCCAAAGGATGAGAACGGGCTGGGCCTGAGTAAAGGAGGTGTGTGTGTGTGGTTGTGGAACATGTCAGCTGGCCTCAGGTAGTACGTTATGGGTGTTCTTGTTAGAAAGGTTGTTAGTTTCATTTTGTGTCACGCTGCACATTTTCTTCTGTCATGGACATCTAGACATTCGTCTGTTACTGCATGTTCTTTCTTAAAACGCTGAACCTGAGGTGTTATTGTGTGAAACTCGCATGCAGAATATCTTATTTTCATTTAGGAAAAAACTATGGATGGACAGATTGAAAACAAGGTGCAATACAGCAACTAGGAAGAAAACATTTCTGCATAGTGCTTATTAAAGAGGAATGCTGTTATGATCTGGAAACTTTGTTCTAACTCATTTCAAATGATCAGTATTAGTATTATTATAATATTGCATGATCTATTTTAGCTTGTCTGAACCCTATACACTATTGTTGAAATTTTTGGGTTCTGTTTAAAAAAAGAAGAAGAAACTAATCATTTTTATTCTGCAAGGATGCATTAAATTGATTAAAAGTGACAGTAAATACATTTATGATGTTACAAAAGATTATATAAACTATTAATCAAAGAATCCTGGGGGAAAAGTTATCACAATTTTCACAAAAATATTAAGCAGCACAACTGTTTTCAACATTGATAATATTAAGAAATGTT